AAGTCAGACAGTTTATGGCAAAAAATAATAAAGTACATTACTTTGATGAGGTGAAATAGCAAGCTGTCAGACTATGATGTTATTGTTCAAGTTGAATGTACAGTGGAGATGGGTGTATTAGGGTGGTGCTAACATCTGACAGGACTGCACCATCAGAGGGGGTTCAAATGATTTGCTTCTATTGTTCAATGGCAACATAACCAGATGGCATTCAAAAACAAATGGCCTCATTTTTACTGCCATAAAAGTAAACCTCAGTTATAATAAGATACACTGGTCTAGAAGTATGAAATCAGGTTACTGAAAGAATTGTTACCTTTGTATACAGTGTGTAATTGTTAATGCAATGTTGTCAGATTATTGTGAGAATTGTTACCTTATATAATTAAGTGTGTAATTGATGCATGTAATCAGATTATTGTGAGAATTGATGCCCTTTGTATTCAGTGTGTAATTGATGCATGTAATCAGATTGTGAGAATTGATGCCCTTTGTATACAGTGTGTAATTGATGCATGTAATCAGGTTATTGTGAGAATTGATGCCCTTTGTATTCAGTGTGTAATTGATGCATGTAATCAGATTATTGTGAGAATTGATGCCCTTTGTATACAGTGTGTAATTGATGCATGTAATCAGATTATTGTGAGAATTGATGCCCTTTGTATTCAGTGTGTAATTGATGCATGTAATCAGATTATTGTGAGAATTGATGCCCTTTGTATACAGTGTGTAATTGATGCATGTAATCAGATTATTGTGAGAATTGATGCCCTTTGTATACAGTGTGTAATTGATGCATGTAATCAGATTATTGTGAGAATTGATGCCCTTTGTATACAGTGTGTAATTGATGCATGTAATCAGATTATTGTGAGAATTGATGCCCTTTGTATACAGTGTGTAATTGATGCATGTAATCAGATTATTGTGAGAATTGATGCCCTTTGTATACAGTGTGTAATTGATGCATGTAATCAGATTATTGTGAGAATTGATGCCCTTTGTATACAGTGTGTAATTGATGCATGTAATCAGATTATTGTGAGAATTGATGCCCTTTGTATACAGTGTGTAATTGATGCATGTAATCAGATTATTGTGAGAATTGATGCCCTTTGTATACAGTGTGTAATTGATGCATGTAATCAGATTATTGTGAGAATTGATGCCCTTTGTATACAGTGTGTAATTGATGCATGTAATCAGATTATTGTGAGAATTGATGCCCTTTGTATACAGTGTGTAATTGATGCATGTAATCAGATTATTGTGAGAATTGATGCCCTTTGTATTCAGTGTGTAATTGATGCATGTAATCAGATTATTGTGAGAATTGATGCCCTTTGTATACAGTGTGTAATTGATGCATGTAATCAGATTATTGTGAGAATTGATGCCCTTTGTATACAGTGTGTAATTGATGCATGTAATCAGATTATTGTGAGAATTGATGCCCTTTGTATACAGTGTGTAATTGATGCATGTAATCAGATTATTGTGAGAATTGATGCCCTTTGTATACAGTGTGTAATTGATGCATGTAATCAGATTATTGTGAGAATTGATGCCCTTTGTATACAGTGTGTAATTGATGCATGTAATCAGATTATTGTGAGAATTGATGCCCTTTGTATACAGTGTGTAATTGATGCATGTAATCAGATTATTGTGAGAATTGATGCCCTTTGTATACAGTGTGTAATTGATGCATGTAATCAGATTATTGTGAGAATTGTTACCTTATATAATTAAGTGTGTAATTGATGCATGTAATCAGATTATTGTGAGAATTGATTCCCTTTGTATTCAGTGTGTAATTGATGCATGTAATCAGAATATTGTGAGAATTGATGCCCTTTGTATACAGTGTGTAATTGATGCATGTAATCAGATTATTGTGAGAATTGATGCCCTTTGTATTCAGTGTGTAATTGATGCATGTAATCAGATTGTGAGAATTGATGCCCTTTGTATACAGTGTGTAATTGATGCATGTAATCAGATTATTGTGAGAATTGATGCCCTTTGTATACAGTGTGTAATTGATGCATGTAATCAGATTATTGTGAGAATTGATGCCCTTTGTATACAGTGTGTAATTGATGCATGTAATCAGATTATTGTGAGAATTGATGCCCTTTGTATACAGTGTGTAATTGATGCATGTAATCAGATTATTGTGAGAATTGATGCCCTTTGTATACAGTGTGTAATTGATGCATGTAATCAGATTATTGTGAGAATTGATGCCCTTTGTATACAGTGTGTAATTGATGCATGTAATCAGATTATTGTGAGAATTGATGCCCTTTGTATTCAGTGTGTAATTGATGCATGTAATCAGATTATTGTGAGAATTGATGCCCTTTGTATACAGTGTGTAATTGATGCATGTAATCAGATTATTGTGAGAATTGATGCCCTTTGTATACAGTGTGTAATTGATGCATGTAATCAGATTATTGTGAGAATTGATGCCCTTTGTATACAGTGTGTAATTGATGCATGTAATCAGATTATTGTGAGAATTGATGCCCTTTGTATACAGTGTGTAATTGATGCATGTAATCAGATTATTGTGAGAATTGATGCCCTTTGTATACAGTGTGTAATTGATGCATGTAATCAGATTATTGTGAGAATTGATGCCCTTTGTATACAGTGTGTAATTGATGCATGTAATCAGATTATTGTGAGAATTGTTACCTTATATAATTAAGTGTGTAATTGATGCATGTAATCAGATTATTGTGAGAATTGATTCCCTTTGTATTCAGTGTGTAATTGATGCATGTAATCAGAATATTGTGAGAATTGATGCCCTTTGTATACAGTGTGTAATTGATGCATGTAATCAGGTTATTGTGAGAATTGATGCCCTTTGTATTCAGTGTGTAATTGATGCATGTAATCAGATTGTGAGAATTGATGCCCTTTGTATACAGTGTGTAATTGATGCATGTAATCAGATTATTGTGAGAATTGATGCCCTTTGTATACAGTGTGTAATTGATGCATGCAATCAGATTATTGTGAGAATTGATTCCCTTTGTATACAGTGTGTAATTGATGCATGTAATCAGATTATTGTGAGAATTGATGCCCTTTGTATACAGTGTGTAATTGATGCATGTAATCAGATTATTGTGAGAATTGATGCCCTTTGTATACAGTGTGTAATTGATGCATGTAATCAGATTATTGTGAGAATTGATGCCCTTTGTATACAGTGTGTAATTGATGCATGTAATCAGATTATTGTGAGAATTGATGCCCTTTGTATACAGTGTGTAATTGATGCATGTAATCAGATTATTGTGAGAATTGATGCCCTTTGTATACAGTGTGTAATTGATGCATGTAATCAGATTATTGTGAGAATTGATGCCCTTTGTATACAGTGTGTAATTGATGCATGTAATCAGATTATTGTGAGAATTGTTACCTTATATAATTAAGTGTGTAATTGATGCATGTAATCAGATTATTGTGAGAATTGATGCCCTTTGTATACAGTGTGTAATTGATGCATGTAATCAGATTATTGTGAGAATTGATGCCCTTTGTATACAGTGTGTAATTGATGCATGTAATCAGGTTATTGTGAGAATTGATGCCCTTTGTATTCAGTGTGTAATTGATGCATGTAATCAGATTGTGAGAATTGATGCCCTTTGTATACAGTGTGTAATTGATGCATGTAATCAGATTATTGTGAGAATTGATGCCCTTTGTATTCAGTGTGTAATTGATGCATGTAATCAGATTATTGTGAGAATTGATGCCCTTTGTATACAGTGTGTAATTGATGCATGTAATCAGATTATTGTGAGAATTGATGCCCTTTGTATTCAGTGTGTAATTGATGCATGTAATCAGATTATTGTGAGAATTGATGCCCTTTGTATACAGTGTGTAATTGATGCATGTAATCAGATTATTGTGAGAATTGATGTCCTTTGTATACAGTGTGTAATTGATGCATGTAATCAGATTATTGTGAGAATTGATGCCCTTTGTATTCAGTGTGTAATTGATGCATGTAATCAGATTGTGAGAATTGATGCCCTTTGTATACAGTGTGTAATTGATGCATGTAATCAGATTATTGTGAGAATTGATGCCCTTTGTATACAGTGTGTAATTGATGCATGTAATCAGATTATTGTGAGAATTGATGCTCTTTGTATACAGTGTGTAATTGATGCATGTAATCAGATTATTGTGAGAATTGATGCCCTTTGTATACAGTGTGTAATTGATGCATGTAATCAGATTATTGTGAGAATTGATGCCCTTTGTATACAGTGTGTAATTGATGCATGTAATCAGATTATTGTGAGAATTGATGCCCTTTGTATACAGTGTGTAATTGATGCATGTAATCAGATTATTGTGAGAATTGATGCCCTTTGTATTCAGTGTGTAATTGATGCATGTAATCAGATTATTGTGAGAATTGATGCCCTTTGTATACAGTGTGTAATTGATGCATGTAATCAGAATATTGTGAGAATTGATGCCCTTTGTATACAGTGTGTAATTGATGCATGTAATCAGGTTATTGTGAGAATTGATGCCCTTTGTATTCAGTGTGTAATTGATGCATGTAATCAGATTGTGAGAATTGATGCCCTTTGTATACAGTGTGTAATTGATGCATGTAATCAGATTATTGTGAGAATTGATTCCCTTTGTATTCAGTGTGTAATTGATGCATGTAATCAGATTATTGTGAGAATTGATGCCCTTTGTATACAGTGTGTAATTGATGCATGTAATCAGATTATTGTGAGAATTGATGCCCTTTGTATACAGTGTGTAATTGATGCATGTAATCAGATTATTGTGAGAATTGATGCCCTTTGTATACAGTGTGTAATTGATGCATGTAATCAGATTATTGTGAGAATTGATGCCCTTTGTATTCAGTGTGTAATTGATGCATGTAATCAGATTATTGTGAGAATTGATGCCCTTTGTATACAGCGTGTAATTGATGCATGTAATCAGATTATTGTGAGAATTGATGCCCTTTGTATACAGTGTGTAATTGATGCATGTAATCAGATTATTGTGAGAATTGATGCCCTTTGTATACAGTGTGTAATTGATGCATGTAATCAGATTATTGTGAGAATTGATGCCCTTTGTATACAGTGTGTAATTGATGCATGTAATCAGATTATTGTGAGAATTGATGGTGAAAACAAAAATGGTAAAAGATGAGAAAAACAATCTCACACTGTGCTGCCTATCATTACTATTAATCAATGTGAGACCTGAATGCAGTGAGTGCTGATCGAAGTGTAGTGTGGGCTGTCAAATATCTTGTATACATAGCAGTATTACAAAATATAACTTGAATAAGGATGAGCAAATAAATTCTAGGTCAATCAAAAATTTGGAAGCTTTAGAACTAACCAGACAGTCAAATAAATAACAACCCAGCAAAGAAAAAAAAAACTTTTGATCAGTTCATGCTAAAAGTCTTGTTTACTATCACCACTATGATAGCATTATTTGTGCTAAAAATAGAAAGTTAATATTTGACCTGATGCCTGAATGAAATGATTTCTTAAGGCACTTGAATGTGAGACTAACTAGGACTGCCGGTTCATTGGGACAAAGGACTGGGTCACTCCACAAGCAACTCCTTAATGAACTAATGTCATGCCAGTTATAAACCTTAGTTGGACCAATCACAAGCAAATGAGCTCAGCTGTTGTGTAGTCTAGCAAAATGACAGATCTTTTCAATGACCACATTATGGCACATGTTGACTTCCTGTAGCAATAAGACTATTTTAGGTCAAAGTGTAGCACATATTCACAGAATACAGGCTACAGAAAAGAAAAAATGCTGGATATAAAAGAGAAACTACAACTATAGGATGTGACAATATATAAAAACATGGAATTATATAGGGACCTTTTGTAAGATGAAACTTATGAGGAATGTTATGCAAGGCTGGTGATCAGCCATCTAAACGAGCTAGCTCTGTGGTGTATACATTGACACTCTCAGCATCATACAGTACAAAGTAAATCTGTTTCAGAGATGACACTTTGGCGTTCGTGAAATAATCTCGAATTGATGATAAAATAATTTGAGCAGCAGTCTGTTTAGGAAACCCAGCGCTGAAAAAAAAATTTAAGTGTATCAAAACCTTTGTAAATACATAGATATAACTGAGCTCCTAAAATATTTCATTGTTAAATTAAGTTTACTTTCCTAGTTCTGTCATACAATAAATATAGTAGCAAAAGATTCTGAACAACATGTTTTTAAAAAATTTGAGTTAAAATTTTTGGCTATTAACTCCCTTTTCATTAACTGTTTCAGTAGCCAAAAGTAAAACCCAAATTTTTTTTAAAACATCAGCTGTTCAGAATCCCAATTCACATTGTGTGTTCATGACAGTGTATCACAGTTGACATTGTGTGTTCATGACAGTGTATCACAGTTGACATTGTGTGTTCATGACAGTGTATCACAGTTGACATTGTGTGTTCATGACAGTGTATCACAGTTGACATTGTGTGTTCATGACAGTGTATCACAGTTGACATTGTGTGTTCATGACAGTGTATCACAGTTGACATTGTGTGTTCATGACAGTGTATCACAGTTGACATTGTGTGTTCATGACAGTGTATCACAGTTGACATTGTGTGTTCATGACAGTGTATCACAGTTGACATTGTGTGTTCATGATAGTGTATCCAAGTTCACATTATGTTTGAATTACTTAAGTTGTAATAAGAGTCTATATTTCTATCATATTGAAAGTTCAAAAAGTTACTAGGTGACATATGACAACATTTAACACCCCTAAACTTCTTATAAACTGGGCTTGTAATTCACAGAAACAGCGTTAATGAATGCATTTATTTAGACTAGTCTTCTTTATTTAAAGATTTGAAAAATGTGTGCAATTGTATCTTAACTTAGACATTCAGTAAGTCAGGCGTTTAGAAAGTCAGGCATCCTGTAAGTCAGGCATCCTTTGTTGTCATTACTTAATAGTTATATCACCCCCCCCCCCCCCCCCCCCCAGTAGGAATGGTCATACATAAAAAAGGGAACTTAAAGCAAAAAAGTTTAACATAGGCATGGAAGCCATTTTGCTAAGCCAAAAATAAATAATTAAAATAAGACTTAAAATACCTAGACTAGACCAAGTAGTTTGCGTGTTAGTCATGATTTTATTGTATTTTCGTACATATATTTTATTTAACAGATTATTTAAATCCACAATTCAATAACAAAGGTCTAAAAGAACATTTATTTCTGTATTTCTTCAGAATGCTTAAAATAAAAAACAACTAACTTTTCCGCATCATGTATACTACATATTGTAAGTAAACAAAGAAACAAAAATGTGAGACATAGGGAATTGATCGCTTTTCCCTGTCTTTTTTAAAATTCGATAAATTAGTTTTTTCTACATTTTGACTTTTTTTTTAAAATTATTATGAAAGTTGGAGAAAAAAAATTCTACCTAAGCGGAATAAAACACAAATTTTTATTTCAAAAACCCCAGAAAAACTCAACTTTTGGCAAGACAGTAGGCATGTCTGTGAATATTTCAGGATTTTTTAAAAAACATTGCTTAGGTGAAAAACTATTTTATTGGAAAAATTTGGAACGTATTAGTTCAAGCTGGTAACCATAATTAATACACTAAACAGTAAGACAAACTTTTAAGTCTTGTACTGGAAAGTACCCTACATCTTACCGGCCGCTCCCTAGGGAGGGGATGGCTATAGTTTTAAGGCCCTTATTGTCTGCAAGTTGAAGACAGTTCTTGATAGCTTGCTCAAGTAAAGCCTGGCAATTTTCCATTTTCCATGTGGGCCCAGAACAGTTGATAACGAACTTGGCTGAGATGTGGTGGGCAGGACAAATAGTGGCTGAATAAAGGGATAGGGAGAGAGTTGGACATGGAATAAAGTGGTGGATTCCAATGAACTATACTGCTGCCAGTATAGTTCACTGGAGAATTTGATGACTTACTTCCCACTGCTGATAGAGGGTAAGGCCACACTTTTTAGCTGTTTTTCATCAGCCAACTTGAGCACTGCTTTGACTGCCTTATCTAAGTTAGCCTGAGAGTTTGGATCACTCCAAGAAGGACTGTTTACATGAATGACAAATTTTGCTGCAAACTTGTGACCAGGGCAAATTGCAGCTGAAACAACAAGTTTACATGAATGACAAATTTTGCTGTAAACTTGTGACCAGGGCAAATTGCAGCTGAAACAACAAGTTTACATGAATGACAAATTTTGCTGTAAACTTGTGACCAGGGCAAATTGCAGCTGAAACAACAAGTTTACATGAATGACAAATTTTGCTGTAAACTTATGAAATATAAGTGAAAAATGATAAATAAATCAATATAAAAAGTGTATATTTTTAAATTAAAAAAATGCAGTGAAAAAAATCAATCTATATACTGCTAAAATTGAGCTTATTTAAACAAGTTTGTACATTTTAAAAAATATATTTGTCACATACACGAGAAAAGTTTTAAAGTACAAACATAGAAAAAACTTCATCCAATGCAAACATATATATATGTAAACATATTTAAAGATGTCATTAAAATGGAGAGACATATTCGATTGTGCTAAAAAAAATTTTAATTATACAAGTAAACATATGTTATTGTGTGGATTAAGTTTGATGCATATTTAACATAATTGCTGCATTATAAGTGTGAAATAATTATATGTATTATAAACATATTTTAGGCCTTAAATTATATATATATATATATATATATATATATATCTATATATATCTTTGTTTCTTGGCAATGGAATAGGTTAAATTAGGATACAGTTTAATATTAAATAATATTTGGCACTTTTACTTTCTTTTGGAGACTAAGTAAAATAACTAGAAATATTCTCACAAAAGTGTATCTGGTGGCCTGGCATCCAATTTTTTTTACCTGATATATTTGAATATTTTAATTGATACATTAATTTGTTATTCCTTTTATAACTAGATCTAAGTACAACCAGTAATAAAATTTTTTGTTTGAATATGTTTAACAGATCTTCCAATTTGTTTAACAGATCTTTCAATTTGTTTAACAGATCTTCCAATTTGTTTAACAGATCTTCCAATTTGTTTAACAGATCTTTCAATTTGTTTAACAGATCTTCCAATTTGTTTAACAGATCTTCAAATTTGTTTAACAGATCTTCCAATTTGTTTAACAGATCTTCCAATTTGTTTAACAGATCTTCCAATTTGTTTAACAGATCTTCCAATTTGTTTAACAGATCTTTCAATTTGTTTAACAGATCTTTCAATTTGTTTAACAGATCTTCCAATTTGTTTAACAGATCTTCCAATTTGTTTAACAGATCTTCCAATTTGTTTAACAGATCTTCCAATTTGTTTAACAGATCTTCCAATTTGTTTAACAGATCTTCCAATTTGTTTAACAGATCTTTCAATTTGTTTAACGGATCTTCCAATTTGTTTAACAGATCTTTCAATTTGTTTAACAGATCTTTCAATTTGTTTAACAGATCTTTCAATTTGTTTAACAGATCTTCCAATTTGTTTAACAGATCTTCCAATTTGTTTAACAGATCTTTCAATTTGTTTAACAGATCTTCCAATTTGTTTAACAGATCTTCCAATTTGTTTTAACAGATCTTCCAATTTGTTTAACAGATCTTCCAATTTGTTTAACAGATCTTCCAATTTGTTTAACAGATCTTCCAATTTGTTTAACAGATCTTCCAATTTGTTTAAGAGATCTTCCAATTTGTTTGACAGATCTTCCAATTCCAGACGAAAGAGATTAATATTTGTATTTACTATAATATTTACTGATCAATGCGTGGACAACAAAAAAATAATTTTTTAAGCAAATAAAAAGGGATGAAACGATTTAAAAAATTTTTTTTTTAAAATACCAATCTTCTTCTTCTTCTTCATTCTTAATTATTAGTGTTGAAGGGGATCGAGATTTATCTGCCAATGGGTTTGAACTCGAGACTTTGTACGAATTTATCAACCATGAGCTTTTTGCCGACTCGACCACGCCTCCAACACAATTAAGTGTTACGTGTCAACTGGTTATGCGCCATTGAGGCTATTGACTCCGATTTCAGCCTGCTTTTCTTTTTGGATTTAAAATACCAATAAGTAACTGGATTTTAAAAAAGGAATCATTTAGACTACGATTCTGTTTCTGTATTTAATAAAGTAATAAGGTGTTTGTTAATTAATATATAAATAAATAGTGTGGTTGTTTCTTCTACATAATACACAAAAGCTATATTTGGTGTGAGAAAGTTACTGCTAAACCACCCTCCCCTCTACCTGCAAGCATTCAAATAACTCAACTTCACTTTGAAACCCCCCCCCCCCCCTCTCTTATCCTGCATGTACATCATAAAGGATTGTCCCAAAGGAACTGGCCGGGAGTTTGGGTCTAATTTGGGACCATAAAGGGTGGGGTGGGCATAATGGGATATTGGTTTGCGTTGGACAGTACTGGAGACAGACAGTTTCCAAACTTGAAACTGGGTTGTCTAGTACACTATAAAAATGAAGTTAATGTTTGAATATTTGAGTGAAACGCAAGATGACAAATATGCAATATTGTATGTGTAGTTAAAAATTATTCTGTATAAAAATATATGTAGAATTTAAAAAGTTTTTAAAGGCAGAAAAATATTCTGAATATTGCTTCAAAGCAAAATAAACTGGCAGTTTCAGTCAATCATTGTATGATCTGTTGGGTTGTTAGTTTATTAAATATTAATTGGTAAATATAGAAGAAAGATTATGATAAGAAGATGTGCATCTAATATTTAACAGTGGTGTTTACCTTCAGCTGTTGCAATGGAACCTTGAGTTTTCAGAAGATTTTCAACTTCTTGTTGAAATTCTTTCCCACCAGCTTTTTGTATGGCCTGGCCTGTAGCAAAACAAATACATTCCAGCTAAACATGCTGCTTTAAAGTGCAACATTCATTCTTCACATAACATTGGCAAGTTCCACATCTCCTTCCACATCACACACATATTCCACACCAGCAAATGATTGCGTAAGTGAACAGAACTTCACATAACCTATTCACCACACAACCTACCAACTTCACCACACAACACAACCTACCAACTTCACCACAGAACCTACCAACTTCACCACACAACACAACCTACCAACTTCACCACACAACCTACAAACTTCACCACACAACCTACCAACTTCACAACACAACCTACCAACTTCACCACACAACACAACCTACCAACTTCACACAAAACAGCCTACCAACTTCACAACACAACCTACCAACTTCACAACACAACCTACCAACTTCACCACACAAAACAACCTACCAACATCACCACACAACCTACCAACTTCACAACACAACCTACCAACTTCACAACACAACCTACCAACTTCACAACACAACCTACCAACTTCACAACACAACCTACCAACTTCACAACACAACCTACCAACTTCACAACACAACCTACCAACTTCACCACACAAAACAACCTACCAACATCACCACACAACCTACCAGCTTCACAACACAACCTACCAGCTTCACCACACAACCTACCAGCTTCACCACACAACCTACCAACTTCACAACACAACCTACCAACTTCACAACACAACCTACCAGCTTCACCACACAACCTACCAGCTTCACCACACAACCTACCAGCTTCACCACACAACACAACCTACCAACTTCACAACACAACCTACCAACTTCACCACACAACCTACCAGCTTCACCACACAACCTACAAACTTCACCACACAACCTACCAACTTCACCACACATTTCCAACCTACCAGCTTCACCACACAACCTACCAGCTTCAACACACATTTCCAACCTACCAACTTCACCACACAACCTACCAGCTTCACCACACAACCTACAAACTTCACCACACAACCTACCAACTTCACCACACATTTCCAACCTACCAGCTTCACCACACAACCTACTAGCTTCAACACACATTTCCAACCTACCAACTTCACCACACAACCTACCAACTTCACCACACATTTCCAACCTACCAGCTTCACCACACAACCTACAAACTTCACCACACAACCTACCAACTTCACCACACAACCTACCAGCTTCACAACACAACCTACCAACTTCACCACACAAAACAACCTACCAACATCACCACACAACACAACCTATCAGCTTCACCACACAACCTACCAACTTCACAACACAACCTACCAACTTCACCACACAACACAACCTACCAACTTCACCACACAACCTACCAACTTCACCACACAACCTACCAACTTCACCACCCATGTGGTATGTTCCGTTAGTCGGATGAACAATAGCATCAGCTGACATCTTTACCAGATCACCTTGCATGACAGTCAACTGTACATTCGTTCAAACAATTCAAATATCTTAGTAATAAAAACAAACTATACTTTGGATTTAACCAAAATTGTCATAAAATTAATCAAAAGGCCCAGTAAATATTTTTTAAATAATTTGTTAAAATAAATATGGTTATAAAAATCTAAAACTCTGATTTTTGATGGACTTTAGAAAAAAAAAATGGATATAACTGTTATTTGTATTTTCAGTAAATTAACAATTTTTTGTTTAAAACAGGTAAAAACAATTTGATTGTTAATGTTTATCACAGAAATAAAAAAATGTTGAACCAGGCAGTGGCGTATATATAAATATATTCCATATACACTTGTATGTGTATACGTATTCAAATATTTTTTTCTGCTGGATGTATTTCATTTTTTTTATCCCCCCTCCCCTCCATGGATTAACATGTAACTTATTACGATTCTAAACCAAACCGTTTTCCTCAGGGCATATATACTGCAACGTTGAGTTGATGTAAATCTCCCCCCCCCCCTCGTCACCCCCCCCCCCCAGTGATTGCTATAAACTGTCATCATCATCATTCCTTTGTGGCCCCTGGGGAGCAAAGGGCTGCAACCACACATCTCCATCGGACTCGGTTTTGGGCTGCTCCCTTTATCTGTGCCCATGTGAGCCCAGCTGTTTTTGCCTCTTCTTTAAACGTTCTTCTCCATGTCTTCCTTGGCCGGCCCACCCTCCTTTTTCCCTGGGGGTTCCAATCCAAAGCGTGTTTTGCGATGTTTTCTTTTCTTAATGTGTCCGATCCATCCCGATTTATGGGCCTTGATATCTGTTTCTATTGGCTGTTGCTTTAAAGTTCGCCGCAGGTCTTTGTTTGATATTTTGTCTGGCCATCTTATTTTAATAATATGCCGTAAGCATTTGTTTACGAATGCTTGTAGTTTATCAGTATTTATCTTTGTAACCCTCCAAGTGTCAGAGCCATAGAGCAGCACTGCCTTGACATTTGAGTTGTAAATCCCAATTTTGCTCCGGAGTGACAGGGCCATGGACCTCCACATCGGGCGCAGTGAGTTGAAGGCCCACCTAGACTTGTTGATAAGACATTTTATGTCCTCGTCTGCTCCCCCATCCTTATTGATCACGCTTCCCGGATATGTGAATGTGTTTGTTTCTCGTAAATCTTCTCCATTTAGCTGTATGGGCAGGTCCTGGCTGTTATTGATTCTGATTACCTCTGTTTTATTTTTATTGATTTTTAGTTCAACTTTGGAGGCTTCTTCAGATAGCCAATTTAGTTTGGCTTGCGTATGTTGATGCTTGTGAGATAGAAGGCAGATGTCATCAGCAAAATCAAGATGCTATAAACTGTGCTCAGATAATACTAACGATTTGTATCTATATTTGGTTATAAATTCAGCTGGATGTTGCATGTTTTCTTAATCATTAGCAGGTTTACGTCATGGTCTCACCTGTGTTGGGATTTGTCCACTTTGCTCTTAAAAGACTATTTAATTCACTCTAATTAATCATTTAATTAAATGGTGTCACCCGATGCGGTCAACACCCCCTGCCCCCCCCCCCCTCGCTACGCCTCTGGAACTAGGTTATTTGGTTTTTAAAATGTATTAATTTAAAAATTATATCGGCAAAGTTTTGAGTACAAATTGCTATGAGTTTTTTATGCAGTGGGGTTATAACTTAGGTTTGATGAAAATAAATAGAAATGTAGGCTTTTTATATCTTTTTAAGGTTGCTTCGATTAAAAATCTAAAAAAAAAAAAAAACGTTTTTTAGCCATGTCAACAATGATGAAGGATTCTTATCAACATGATTATTTCCATGAATACAGTTTCAAATAAACTAATGACAGTCAAATGTACATTCAATAAAACTGTTCAAATATCAATTGAACTAAAAACAGGTTCAAACATCTTATGTGTTAGTATTCTTTCAATCTAATGTGACAGATAAAACATTTTGAAGCAGCTACCTTTTGACCAAGAAATAGTTTCTTCTCTGATAGTGTTAAAAATCCTCCACTTCCATCAGGTATAGAGTCAGCCTGACAATAGAGAAATAAAGTCAGCCTTAGTGGGTATATACCCAATATACAATCATGTGAAATCTTAGTGGGTATATACCCAATATACAATCATGTGAAATCTTAGTGGGTATATACCCAATATACAATCATGTGAAATCTTAGTGGGTATATACCCAATATACAATCATGTGAAATCTTAGTGGGTATATACAGTACTGTGAAAACTTAGTGAGTATATACAATCAAGTGGAATCTTAGTGAGTATATACCCAATATACATCAAGTGGAATCTTAGTGAGTATATACCCAATATACAATCAGGGCGGAACTACTGTGCCGCCAGACCCAGCCACTTAGGGGCCCACAGCCGACCATAATAATTTTTTTATAGTTTAAAATTTTTTTAATTTTCTTGCATTTTTGACTTGATGGTTGTCTTGTAAAAAAGATTACTGTAGCTGCGGTTGGATTATCTTTTTTCTTTAGACACCAACCCACACTCTAGTATATTATTATTCCCTTTGTTTTTAAACCACTGTGAAAGCTGAGTCCACTTTCTCCTACAATCAAACTTATCAAAGATAAGCAAACGATCAAACCACTTATTTCCCTTTTTCAAATAGTTAAATAGGGGTGCTCATAAGCTCCTTTTAATAGATTTGTACTAAACAAAATAAAAAGGCAATTACTTCTCTTATTATTTTTTATAAAGTACTTACTAAAGAATGACATTGTATAAAAAGGAAATGTATTTAAAATTAATAATATAAATAAAAAAAATAAAAATAAACATAACACTAGACACCATTACATATACAAAGCTGTCATGGTTTATATTCTTTTGACAGACTAGAAATTAAGAGGTCTTATAGCAGAGATAGAATTAAACTGATTTTCACAAAACACACTAATTGAATTATGCTACAGACTAACGCTCACCCACATTAGTATACGCTGATGTAACTATTTCTATTTGAAAATAAAAGTATAAAAAAAAAACCAAAACACACTAATGCACTTACACACATGAAATGATGTTGTATTCTGTATTCATTGAAAAAAAAAACATTTTTTTTTCAAAACCCGAACAGGCCAGCAATGAGTATCCTATGTTTGTATTTTGTGTTTATATATATATATATATATATATATATATATATATATATATATATATATATATATATATATATATATATATATATATATATATATATATATATATATTACGGCCAATGCCCGCATTGACCGGCCAATGCGTACATTGGCCAGCTCTCTTGGCCAAAGCCCGAAGAGCTTAGCACTAAGAGCGGAATTCGTACATTGGCTGGCCAATACGCGCACTGGCCGGGACTTGATGGCCAAAGTCCGAAAAGTTTAAAATTGACAAAGTATTTCATACATTGGCCAGCCAATGCGCGCACTGGCAGGCATTATTCTGGGTGCGGTTTCATTGTGAGTAACGTATTGTTTGTATAGCATTCTATATGCCATGCGACATGTACCAAAAGGGCCATCAGACCAAGTGACAGACATACCAGATGGCTGCCAAAATAAATAATCTAAATCCTAATGGAAGAGAATTTGTGAATCAAGTTATTTCTGAACTAAAGAATATGTGGACTGAACTTAAACTAGTTCATGGAAATCCAAGGCATAGCCAAAGCCAAGGTTCAGTAGAATGTGCCAACCAAGATGTTCAAAACATAATGATGACATGGATGCAGACAAACTAATCAGCTCATTGGGCTGAGAGTCTCAAATTTATTCAATTTATGAAAAACATGACAATAATATGGCCAATAGATTATGTGTAGTTTGTGAAAGATATTGTAGTGTAGCCCATTCTTGTGGATTCTGTGGCAACGATGTCCATGCAATATGCGGAATAGCCAATGAAGCAGACGAAGGTTACGGAGGGAACATAACTTGCAGATTATGTCACAATAAACAAGACACTATGAACAAGAGGTCAGCAGCTCATACTAGCTTGCAAACTCAGGGTGCTAAGGCGCTATAAAACATCAAATACAAAATTTAAACAATGCTGAAGTGGGAGATAATCTTCGCATCCGTGTTCCAGATGTTGACAAAGGTCGCGGTAATCCCCGAAGCGTCATTGCAGTTGTCATTAGCATTGAGGGCGCTTTCTACAAGTTAGGAACGGAACATGGTGTTCTATAACAACTATATGCTAGAAGTGAGTTTTCAATTCTTCACAAAAAACTGCTCTTATTGTCGCCTTTTGGCACTGAGGAAAAATCACTACGAACCATCGCATCTTCACAATCACTGACCGGTGGCCAAGGCTACATTTGCTGCAATTGCACAACCAAATGCACAACAAATCGGTGCAAGTGTAAAATAACAAGCTACTATGTAATTCTAAATGCTACAAAAGTTTAACTTGTTGTAACAAGTGATACTTTTGATTGAGACTATAGTACAATAATAAAATTTGAATGTTTCTGTCATTTACTTTAATGGACACCAGCGACAAAAGTCTAAAAGGTATTTGAGAGGTCCATAAATTATTTTAAAAATCATGCATAGCATAGTTACAATTTATATGGTTATAAAATCCTGCCTGTCTGGTTTTTTTCGGACTTTACTAAAGATTGGATGTATTTGATGTTTTTAATATTTTCGGTAACTAAATAAAAAAAAAAGCAAAAACAATTTGGTTTTCACGTGTAATGGCGACATAAACAATGGCATCCTGCTATTGGATAGGCCACCATAAATTTTATTGTACACATTGTAAGCGAAAAATAGAAAACTAGGTTATGGGGTTTTAAATTTGCATTGTTATTTAAAAACTTGATCTGCAAAGTTTTGTAAACAAATAGTTATCGATCAATAAGTTACTGTATAGCCAATCAATATTTGTCTTACAAAAGTGAAACATCCGGTTATAACTTAGGCTTGATGAAAATAAATAGAAATGTAGCCTTATTCTCAACACATTATTTTCAAGTTCTCTGGATTTGGAACTTTTATAGCATTTATTCTAAAAATATAACATTTCTAAATTAATTTTAGGCTTAAGTTTTTATTTTTTATTTTTTTTTACTGTCTAAATCTAAAAAGCACGTTTTTATTCCATGTCAACAACATTATGGAAGGAATCTCGTCAACTCACTGGTGTCCATTAATAAAGTTAAAGACTTAATTTCTTGATTCTTACGGTATAAAAAACCAAAATCTGCTCATGATCTTCTGATTTGGACTTTGGCCGGTCCACCATGGCCAGTCCGCGGATTGGCCGGCCAAAGGCCGAAATCAACAGCCATTTCAGACTTTGGCCGGTCCATCCTGGCCAGTTGCGGATTGGCCGGCCAAAGGTCCAAATCAAGTTAAGTTTCGGACTTTGACCGGTCCATGGGAGGCGATATTGGCCAATGCGCGCATTGGCCGGTATATAGTGAGATAGCTAGTACATGTTTTCTTACATGTTCATATTTATATACATAGTCATTTTTACAAATACTTAATTGGTCATATTAAATTACATTATCAAATTGATTACAATGTTCATATTTATTTAAAGGTATGATATTAATTTAATGATGAACATTGGTTGAGTTATAAAGAAGCATCAGATATTTTATTCATGAAACAATATTTTGGTGGGAGAAATGAATAAACAAGTGAAGATAATTTTATACTTTCTATTCTACTCCTTTATATCCAGTGTATGGACTAAGACTTAGCATTTATTGTATGACTCAAATGACTTCCACCTTACTTGGTTAATTCTCACCTTTTTAGGCTTGCCTTTAAAGGCTGCTGGTTTGTTGGATGGAGTCATTGCTGCTGAACTTGCTTTTAACTTGCTAGCTGCTAATTTGGATGCTGCTTTTACTTTGGATGGTGATGAGGCTGGAGAGACAACTGCTGCTAAATGTTGTTTGCTTCGTGCTGGACCAATCAAAGCTGCATGGATTTTAGGCACTACACCCCCTTGTGCAATGGTCACATGTTTTAGTAGCTAGTGAGGAAAAAAGTTCTCTTCATACTTCTATTGTCAAGTCCTAAACTCATTCTGTCCTACTAGCAGCCACTTTATCTATAGTTGGTTTAGGTGGCCTGCAGACCCTACAGATAGTTGCATATTAAAATCCCAGTTCAATAATTAACTTTTAAGACTTCCATGTTTTAGAAACAAAAATTCTGGTACTAACTTTCTACAAGACAATGCTGGACCAGTTAAAGGTCTACAAGACAATGCTGGACCAGTTGAAGGTCTACAAGACAATGCTGGACCAGTTAAAGGTCTACAAGACAATGCTGGACCAGTTAAAGGTCTACAAGACAATGCTGGACCAGTTAAAGGTCTACAAGACAATGCTGGACCAGTTAAAGGTCTACAAGACAATGCTGGACCAGATGAAGGTCTACAAGACAATGCTGGACCAGTTAAAGGTCTACAAGACAATGCTGGACCAGTTAAAGGTCTACAAGACAATGCTGGACCAGATGAAGGTCTACAAGATAATGCTGGACCAGATGAAGGTCTATGTATGTTACGTGCTATCATCTTGGCTAGGAACACTCATATAATTTGGTGAAAATATTTTGTATTACTTAGCATATGTAATCATAAAATAAAATCTTGTTTTATTTAAATTATATCCTAATTTAAGTCTATCACTTGTATTATCGATTAGATAATTGTTAACAATCTTGGAACCTAATGGAAACAACAAAGAGTTATATCATTAAGCTTTAACGGATTGTAAGGCAAGTGTCAAAAATTAATAATTAATAATTTTAAAGCGACCCCTGACCTAAGTTCAAAGTTCAATTTGGCTTCTTACTCTCTGTCCTTATATACACAGATATATCATATTGATTTCTTAATAACCCTCTCCTCTGTCATAAATACCTAGTGAGTAAAGAGAGAAACCAGCACTGAAAAAAATTCCTTTTTTTTTAGGAAAATTGTATTTTGAAACAGAAAGATCTGATTTCCAAAGAAAAATATTAAAACAATTCTGCTGTTCAATAATGTTCATCTACCTGATGTAATTCATCATCGTTTGCAATGGCCAACAGGATGTGCCGTGGTGTTATTCTACCTCTTTTAAATTCTTTAGCTGCATTGCCAGCCAACTCCAAGATCTCAGCTGAAAAAATTAAAAATATCAATAGTAGTGATAACTAGAGCTTCAACTGCCAATTTAAACTTCATTACTGTTAACCCTACATATGTCAAGCTTATCAAAAAAGGCAAACTCTACTTCACCTAGGCCATGGTTAGTAAGGTTTGAAAGGGTACTTTAATATTTTTAAAGATGACTGAAACAATTAAAATGCACTTATTTACCTTCAGTTTGGTACTTATTTTAATTATCCAAAATAAATCAGTGGTCTCGAAAATGCTAGTAAAAAATATGTCAGTTATTAAATGGCTACACTGCTAAAACTGTTACACCATGTTAACTTTTAAATAACTGTAGAGCACAAATATATCCTCTGCTATAGATCTTAGCATTCAAATAAACTGCAGACAAAATGGGCAGGCTTAGTTGGCTATTGTCTCAATATATTTATTATTTTGATGAAATTTTTTTCAGGTGTAACAGACTGAATTATGATGAATTGTATTTGGAGTGAAACGTGTGTGATAGTTGAATACCTGGCCATTGGATGTGAATGCATGAGTTAACAATCACTGTATTTTGGAGATCACTCACTGACTGAAGGAAGGAGGGAGACAATGTGGGGCTATATAACTCTGTGTAAATGTCATGCTAGACAGCCACCATAGATGAATGCCAGAGGGTGGGGCTATATAACTAATATTGGCCTACTAATAATAATAAAATAATAGCCTAGTTAATAAACTTAACTTAATACTTAAAGTTAATACTAATGTAGTAATGTAGTAATAGCCTATTTTAGATCTGGATCTAGATCTAGACCTATTAGTATTACTGATTACCTATTACTGTATTACTAATGACTAATAGACGAAATAGCCTTAACCCATATTCTGCTAGCGTCCCACTTATGGGACGCTTGTAAAAAAAATTGCTAATATTTATTAAAAACTAGTTAAAGCACAAATTATGTTTCATTGTATTTGAAAATGGCTAGCCTATTGAATTTGTGTGTGTTTTGTGAAAAAAATTAATTTAGAAAAATTTTATAGTGCCGGATTTGCAGGACTTGTCAAAATGGCGGAAAAAAGAAAACATGCGCACAGAAAAATGCATATCTTCTAAAATATTAACATTTTAAGTGCAAAATACATTTGAAACTTGTAGCAGTACCATATTTCTATCTGATAAAAATTTAAGAATGACAATTTTTTTTTACTACTTCGTTATATCAAGTTTACAACAAGCGTCCCATAAGTGGGACGCTAGCAACGAATGGCCCCATGTAGATTGTTACACAAACGTCATATTTATTGGACACTAGCGAGAAACACAGATGCAAATGTTTATGTTAAATGGTTATTTATGGTGAAACAATTGTTGACTTTGTTAACTGCTGACTTTGGGGTGTTAAGTAGTATTTATAGATATTTAATTATGACCTTGAGCTATATTTTCTTATATATTATTGTATTAAAAAATGGCAAATATTGAAAAACTTACATTTTATTTTTAAGTTTTCAGAATTACACTTACTGAAGTATTTGATACCATTGAATACAAACTAATTTAGTATTGCTGTAAATTTACTAGCGCGTGATATTAAAATTATAACAAACCAGAATAATAACAATGGCCACGATTTAGGTGAAATGATTCAGTCATGGGGGTTGGTTAACTCTCTTCATATAAGAGAGCTTAAGCTACATATAGCAGAAATGTGAATTAGCTGTGTACAGTTGTCATGCCCTAATAATATTCCCCTCCAAAGGTTCCCAATACCAGTTTTACTTTAACTTTTTAAGGAGATCCCTGGTGTTAGATTGGGAGCCGTTCGCATAGTGAGGTGCATACATGGATGAGAGCCATGAACACTCAATACAAGCCCCCAGAGACGGATCCGTGCCCTAGAAATAAGATGTCTGATGTCCTAATGTACGCCTGTGAGGGGGGTGGGGGGGGGGGGGGGGGGGAATAGCGAGGGTAACAAAAGAGAAGATGGTTGGATGACTGGACCGGATCATCTTTTGCAAATTCACTGAGGGCAGAGTTTCTTTTAGGCATCATTTCGGAGAAGGGGGGGGGGGGGGCTGCCCCCAGAACAAAATGGAATTTATATACAAAACATACTTTTACCAATGTCCACCCTTCCCCTGAAATTTAAGTCCCCCACCCCTGAAAATTTCAAGTACGCCCACCAAAAAATCAATTATTTATATTTAATTATATTACAGTTTCGATGAATAATAACAATATTTGTGATCATGTGTGTCTAATTAGATATACTAGTCACAGCTTTACTTATTTCCAAGTGTTATTCACTTTGATGGATGCTAGATTGAAAGAATACTAGACTTTTGAACATAATTTCTGCATTTTAGACCATGGTATGGCTAACCCAATTGATCATTATCAGTATTTTTAGCTGTCCTAAACAATTTAATCATTGGTCTAACAATACAAAATCAGTAGGCCTATACAGCTTAATTTTCGCGTGAATAGCTAGATTTCGTGATAAATGATTTTATTTTCAATAAATGTACATGGGGCCGTTCGTTGCTAGCGTCCCATTTATGGGACGTTTTTTTAAAAATCGATAATTAAAAAAGTATTGATTTTAAAAAAAATCCATAGTCATTCCTTCATTCAGTGCCCAAAAGCTAAACCATATAAAAAATTATAAAAATTTGAGACCTTGGGATAATATTAATTATTAATATGGGTTAATATAATAATATTAATAGTTAATAATAGGTCTAGATCCAGATCTAAAATTTAATCATTTGGTGACAATTCAATAAATCCCGTATCCCTAATATAATAGTATTAGGTCTAGATCTTATAGTCTATACTATTATTCTTGAAAAGAGGGAAAATTGATGCTGGTGGATCTACAAACCAACAAGATATTCAATAACTGCAGCCATGTAAACTGGAGAACCGGCTCCGATCCGTAGGTGGTGTGTGTCTTTCCTCAGATAACGAAGCATTCGAGCTACGGGAAACAAAACACCAGCTCGAGCTGATCGCGATAGCATCTTCTGCTTTTTTTTCCCACCCCTAGCTGACATTGTGAATTTTCGATATTTTTTTAGAGCTAAACAAATGTTTCTAAGGGTACACCCTGATTCTCGTCCTCCCTGCAACCCAGCCCACTTTTCCGAAAGGCCAATAAACGCGTTTACACTTGCAACATGTATGAGATACAACTCTAGAACACAGCAATTCTGGAAACAATTTCTTCACAGAACATGTTACACGTTCACAATTACAAAATATGTTATAGAACATTTTTTAAAAACAAACATGACCTCTGACCCGGAGCGTCTGCTATATAAGCCTAGATAAATAAAAAGAAAGAGTGATCAAAGTATAAAAAAAAAACACGTATTCACGCATATTTAATATTTTAAAGTAAAATCGTGTAGCATTTTGGCTTACAATTCAACAATAAATTATCTAACAATTAGAGAACATGCTAGATTTTAGAAATGTTATAAGAATGTCAACAAATGAGCTTGAAATAATGGACTAAGACATAACCCACCCGCTATAGGTCTGGTAAGTAGGTCACCAACCAGTTCTACACCTCAATAAAACCTGCATGAGCCATAGAACTGGTTGGTGACCTACTTATTAGGCATATTACCGTAGCCTCAACAGAAAAAAATGTCACAGGAAAAAAGTCACAGGAAAAAAGTCACAGGAAAAAACTCACAAATATATATTTGCATGAAATTTGTTAATACTTTTATGCATTAAATATTCAGAAAGTGCAAATCAACTCAGATTAATTAAATATAATAAAATGTGCGTAGGTTGTATCGTATAGTGAAATTTATAACACACGTAAATATTTAGTGTGAAGTATTTACGTTTTAATTCCTTTATACATATAATATTTAATAGAATTTAATAAAATGTTCCAACTTTCTCCTTTTCATAGTATGTGTTAAATATACTAACTTTAAATTAGAGCGAAAATGCATTAAGACGTAGTTAGTGTGTCTTACTACCCTCAACTCATTGCAACAATAGGTCAACCACCTGTACTGCCCACTTTTGTCACGCTCATTACATAACAAAGGAAAGGGTCAAAGCAGAAACCGGACACGGTACAAAGACTGTCATTGACGCAAAACGTCAACAGCACACAATCTGGACGGACAAGGCCGACTGAGGAGAAGCCGACCAAGGAATGGCAACAACAAAAAAACATACAAAACACAATTATGTGCCTAAAATTAGTGTAATAGATTGAGATAATTGTGAGGTCAGGGGAACTCACTCTTCTGTATTAGTATTATATTTATATTGTTATCTTGAGTGATGTCCCTTACATGTTGTTATGTATAAATAGTTGTCTCTCGCCACTTCCTCTCTTTACCATCATGGCTGTCTGTAAATAAAAGGCTGTTAACACCAATGTGGCTCCTCGTCAATCTATCACATTTTGGCGACGAAGGATAAACATCTACTAGAAAGAGCACCTACTTACGCAAAAAAGAGGTTTGCTAGAGCTTATTAGCTAATTATTTCTAGAATAATGGCGCTGTATGGCCAAATAAAAGAATTTGATGCGAATGATGAAATCATTCAAGATTACCTAGATAGGTTAAGCTTTTACCTAGAAGCTAACAACGTGACGATGGAAGCCAAAAAGAGAGCTGTTTTGTTAACAGTCATAGGGCCTCAACAATTTAGGCTACTAAAGGACTTATGCGCACCAGCTAGTCTAACTACCAAGAGCTTTAACGAGCTGAGCAAATTGCTAACAGACCACCATGCGCCTGTACCATCAAAGTTTCTAAGTCGAGCTAGATTTGACAGTAGAACTCGTCAACCAAACGAGTCAATATCAGAATATGTTGCTGCTTTACGTCATTTAAGTGAATTTTGTGAATTCGGAGACACGCTGTCTGACAGACTATGTGAAAAGTTTGTGACAGGTGTAAACAGCCCTGATATTCAAAGAAAGTTGCTGCTCGAGTCAGATCTAAAATTGGAAAAAGCAATACAACTCGCAACTTTATTCCAGCAGTCATCTGATGCGGCGAAATCTCTTACACCTTCAGAGATCCATGCAGTAAACAGCAGGTTAGTCAATAAACATCAACCCCATCAGAGCATTCCAACTTATGCTAAACAGCCTGCTCGTTCAAATCCTAGATCTAAATCTAGTAATAATTATCAAAAATGTCATCGATGCAAAGGTCCCCATGCATCTCATCGGTGCAAGTTCAAGTCTGCAACTTGTTATAAGTGCGGTAAGCAAGGTCACATTGCTAAGGCCTGCTTTGCAAAGTCTTCGTCTGTCGCTAAATCTAGCCAGTCAAGACAGTACCGCAACCAAAGGCAGCACTATGTTAACTCTCACCAAGACTACCTAACCCAACCAATGAACCACTCTACCTGTGAAAATGCTCAAACTGATTCGCAGCCGGATTTCAACCTATTCTCTGTGAAATCAATAAGTCATGCTCCCATCAATGTACCAGTTAATATCAACGGTAAGAGCATCAGCTTCCAACTTGACACTGGAGCATCTCTAACAGTCATCACAAAGAAGGACTTTGACGCTGTCACAGGAGGATCAGTGTCTCTACAGCCATGTCACAAGTGTCTAACAACATACACTGGTGACAATGTTCCGGTAATAGGAGAGTGTATGGTTCATGTAAGTTATAATGGTCAAAGTGTTAAACTTCCTCTTCTTGTGGTTGAAGGAAATGGACCACCATTACTAGGTAGGAACTGGTTAAGTGATCTTAAGTTAAATTGGGAGAGTATTTGTTCATTGAAGAATGTAAAAGAATCTAGTCTTACTTCACTAGATAAAGTTATATCTGAAAATAAATGTGTTTTTGGTAACTCTGGATTACTAAATGATAGAACAGTGAAGTTAAGCAGTAAAGATACAAATCCAAGATACTGCAAAGCTAGAGTTCCACCTTATGCAATGAGGAATAAAATTGAAAATGAGCTAAGTAGATTGGAATCTAATGGCATCATAAAGAAGGTAGACTATTCCGATTGGGCGTCGCCCATTGTGCCAGTGTTAAAGAAGGATGGTTCTATAAGAATTTGTGGAGATTATAAAACTACACTGAATAAGCAAATAGAGCTAAATAGGTACCCTATACCTAACATTGAGGAAATTTCTTTGAATTTGGCAGGAGGAGACAAATTCACTGAATTAGACTTTAGTCATGCTTACACTCAACTAGAACTGCATCCAGATTCAAAAGTCTATACGACAATAAACACACATAAAGGACTCTACCAATATGAAAGACTATGTTTTGGCATATCATCTAGCCCTGGAATTTTCCAAGCTGTCATCGACAGTATTTTTAAGGATATTCCAAATGTTTGTGTGTACTTTGACAATGTGTACATAACTGGTAAGAATGACACTGAACATCTTAAAACACTTGATAAAGTATTGAAAATTGTTGGTGAAAAAGGTTTAAAGATAAACAAAGATAAATGTCAATTCATGTTGACAGAAATTAGTTTTCTTGGTTATATATTGAGCAAACAAGGCATCAGACCTCAACCTGAGAAAACAAAAGCCATTAAAGAAGCACCCAAACCTGAAAATACCCAACAACTAAGAGCTTTTTTGGGCTTGATAAATTACTATGCAAAGTTCATAGGGAATCTGTCTGGTAAACTATCACCACTGTACAAGCTGCTACAGAAAAATGCAACTTGGCACTGGGGTAAACAACAAGAAGCTGCTTTTAATACAGCAAAAGAGGCTTTGTCTTCTGACACCTTACTAACTCACTATGACCCAGGGAAAAGACTTATATTAACATGTGATGCTTCACCAGATGGTGTAGGAGCAGTCTTGTCCCACATGGATGAGGAGGGTGACAGACCCATTGTTTTTGCCAGTAGATCTTTGAAGCAGGCTGAGAAAAATTATTCTCAGTTAGATAGGGAAGGCTTAGGCATCATTTTTGGTGTTAAGAAATTTCATAAGTTTCTGTTTGGTAGGAAGTTCACCATCTTTACAGATCATAAACCATTGCTAGGTTTATTTGGAGAAAACAAAACCCTACCTGAGCATGCCTCACCAAGAATTCAAAGATGGGCTATCACACTAACTGCATACAATTATGAATTGAAATACAAACCTGGATCTGAGAATAGTGCAGATAGTCTTAGTAGATTACCTTTAAAAAACCAGAGCCTGAGCTATGTACCAGAAGATGTATTTGTTCTCTTCACTATCATGGATAACTCCAATATAAATGTGAATGATATTAAAAGAGAAACACAAAAAGATGAGTGCTGTAAGAATGGTTGGCCTGAAGAGTCTGTGAATGATGACTTAAGGCCATATTAAATAAGAAAAATGGTATTCAATCTAAAAGATGGAGAAGATGCAGTCCATTATCAGTCAGAGTTGCCTAAACAAAGTATTTGTAACTTAATAAATGATTATGGTGATATGGCAATTTCAAATGTTTTAAAGAGAATACATTAGTAAGAAGGAATGTGATCATCAAACAACTTTGCTAACATCATTAGCACTTACAGAAACTAAAAGGGTAACATCAAAAGAAAAGAAAAAAGATTTTTTGCCATTTAATACTTTCAGATGCCAATTCAAAAATAGTTCCATTAAATCATGACAACTCATGCATTGAAAGAGAATTTGGTGTTAATAAGAATGTGTATCTAAGAAATCATGGGAGAAAGGAAAAATGGATACCAGGTCAAATTGTTCAATGTACAGGACCTGTGTCTTATAAAGTTAAAAATAACTTGTGCAGATAATAAGTGTGAATCTGTCAATCCCACCAAATCTGATCAGTTCACACCAACTCAGTTTGTTCCACAACCAAGTTCTGTTGATATGAGTGAACCAAGTTGTCTGGAGTCAGAAAATGTAAATTCTGGAGTTAATGATTTAAATCCTAGACCTCCTGAGATAGAGAATCCAAATGGTCAGAATATTGAGTCACCAAATCAAAGGCCACTGAGAAGGTCAAACAGGACAATCAAAGTCCCAAATAAGTTAGACCTATGATTTTAAAGGTCAAGAGGACTTTGACATTATTGTTTTGTATTTTAATTATGTTGTAATATTGTGCATTGTTTGTAAGGATGTAATTTACCATAATGTTCATGTTACAATATAATTGGT